TATAAAATAATAACAATATGATATTACATTATATATACACTATATATAATTATACAGTATATTACATGTTTTATAAGAGGCAGTATTATATCTTTTTATTTTTTAAAGTAATTTCCCCCATTCCACCACGACCGCCCTGCACAGCAAACCCACACCTCGGTGTCTCTATCAGCAGTGGCTGCCGTGCCCCATCCCAAAGGGCTTTGCCTCGCTGACCGAGCTCTAACCCCAGCCCTGTGCCCTGCCTGGCAGGTTGTCAGCGAGCCCAGAGTCCTCACAGCCCTCAGCAACCCGAAACATTACCATTCTCACCACTGTTACTGACTTCAAACAGGCACGGGAGTCTTAATCGACCCCCAGTGCAAGGTGCTCCGAAGCTGCAAACGATCCTCATTTTACAGCTTGAGAGACTTGTAAGCACATTTTCTAATGACTTTGGCCTTCAGCTGTTCTTACTCTAAGCCGCTTAATGAAAGCCAAGGCCTGAGAATGCTTCAAGCAAAGCACTGCTGCACACCTGAGACCTCATCAGCTGTTTTTCCCCATTTAAATTCCAGCCTCGCTGCTGCCGGAGCACGGTGGGATTTACAGTGAATACCGAGCAGGGGCACTGACAACAGCCCCATCAAACCTGTTGTTATCAGTGCGTTCTGCTTCCCCAACTCCTCCCCATCAGTAACACACAGCACGCACAGTGCAGAGCCACATTTTCATGCAAGTGGTTTTTTTGACAAAACAAGTGCACTGCTAAGATGTGGCAGCGAGAGCTCTGTGTGTGCTGCAGTTTGCTGCTGCTGCTGCTGCTGCTCCTCTGCACTCCCCAAATGAACGATCTTTGCCAACCTGGGCTGACAGATGTTGGTTCTGGTGCTGCCTCTCCCTCCCTTCCCCAAAATGGGCAGAGTGTCCTGTGTGCCCAGTTCTGGGCCCTCAGGTCAAGAAGGACAGGAACTGCTTGAAAGAGTCCAGCAGGGCCACAAAGTGATGGAGATGCTGGAGGGAGTGGAGCATCTCCTGCTGAGGAGCGGCTGAGGGAGCTGGGGCTCTTGAGCTTGGAGCAGAGGAGACTGAGGGGTGCCCTCATTCCTGGGGATCCATTGGGAAAGGGCAGTGTCAGGAGGAAGGAGCCAGGCTCTGCTCTGGGATGGCCAATGGCAGGACAAGGGGCAATGGTCCCAAGCTGGAGCACAGGAGGTTCCAGCTGAAGCTGAGGCCAAAGTTTGTGAGTGTGAGGGTTGTGGAGCATGGCCCAGGCTGCCCAGAGAGGTTGTGGAGTCTCCTTGTGTGGAGACACCCAAAGCCCTGGCCGTGTTCCTGTGTGACTGCTGTGGTGATCCTGCTCTGGCAGGGGTTGCACTGGGGGAGCTTTCCAGGGCCCTTCCCACTCCTGACATCCTGGGATGCTGTGAGAGCAGCACCTCGGCTGAAGATGAATGACCCTCCCACAGCCCGTGTGTGCTCAGGTGGGAAGGCAGGGAGCAGAGCTGGTCTCAGAGCTCGCTGTGTTCACTGCTCTCCAGCAGCAGACAGGCAGACGTGGGCGTTCTGTCTCCTCTGAATCATCCCTGTGCTCAGCACCCGAAGCAGACAGCACACAAGCCCTATTAATCTACATTAAACACGGTGTTATCCCGTAAGCGCTCAGCGCACGCCGCCTATCAGATTGAGGAGGCCCACACAAAGAAATACACGCATACCGATATCCCCTTTCTAAATGAAATGCTTCCCATCTGCCCCTCAGGAAGAACGCAGCCATTTATAGCAGCATTACAACCGCCTAGAATTTTAGTACCTCAGAACGAAGTCTTACAGGGAAAAGGCTTACATGTTGTACTGCCAAATTACCGGGTAACCAGTACTCATTTTTTAAATAAGCAAAAAACTCAGGATAATTTTTTATATCAAATTATACTGTCAAAACGTGCACACAACACACTGCAGGAGGTCTGCTCGCCCGAAAGGTCTCCTGTCAGCATAACAAACTTGCATGGTACCTCCCAAAAAGTGTTTAAGATGATAAACTGCCCTTGAAAAGAGCAGGTTTCCTAATGCATTCCTTCTTACAGAGCCAGGGTAATAAATCAGGGATTAAACTGGCCCTAAATGTCCTTTCCTCCACCTTAGGTCTTCTCTTGCTCCATATTCTTTCATAAAACACTTAATTCCTTGCATAACGAAACAGCCCAGACCCAAAGAGACCTTACAGAAATATCAGCAAGGGCCCAGTCACACGGGGGAGTAATGAAATGATGGGAAACAGCGTGAAATAGCAGCTGGTGTCTGGTGAGACCTGACACACGAGGTCTTGTATCTCATGTGAGGGATCACTGGTCAAGTGGGACCAGTTCCCTGTACCTGGAGCCTCTGCCGAGCCACAGTTCCCATTCTGAGCCAAAGTCAACTAAATTCTATTCAATTCTATTCAACCAAACCCTTGCTGTAACAAGATGAGGGCTTTTCCTACATATATCCTGTTCCTTCTCTGTTCAGTCACCTCCCTTCCTAAGCAGCCACAAGCAGGTGCTGTATCCCTATCCCAAAAAGCCAGGCAACAGCCCCGATCCCAAAGTCAATTAAAACAAACCCAACCCCAAAACCTTTGGACCCTGCCTTGTTAGCTTAGCTAATAGTATCTCAGGACAAGCAAGAACACTAACACTCACTACTGTCCAAAAAGCAGTCTTCTCCCAAGTTTCTGAGGAAGATCCATTCAAAAATAAAATGATAATAAAAAAAATCCCCAAGCCACTTCTGCCATCACATCTTGACAGGTTTTATAGACTCAAGTATCAGTCTTCTGTGCACCACATACTCCATCTAGTAAATGATAGAGAAACACTGCTACAGATCTTGATGTTCTCACTCTTGTTTCCTTGCGTGGTTCAAGGAACACAAAATTCCTCAGGAAGAGTGTCTCAGTTAAAGCAACCCAAGGCTGTCACAGCATCACAGCACCCCAGGATGTCAGGAGTGGGAAGGGCCCTGGAAAGCTCCCCCAGTGCAACCCCTGCAGAGCAGGATCACCAGAGCAGTCACACAGGAACACGGCCAGGGCTTTGGGTGTCTGCAGACAAGGACACTCCACAACCTCTCTGGGCAGCCTGGGCCATGCTCCACAACCCTCACACTCACAAACTTTGGCCTCATCTTCAGCTTGAACCTCCTGTGCTCCAGCTTGGGACCATTGCCCCTTGTCCTGGCATTGGACATCAAATTTGTATTTTTCAGGCTTTTGCCTTTTACTGGTGATAATGGGATGGTGAAAAAGCAATCCTGGATTCCAGGTTTCCTCCTGCCCTGTCTGCCCCCAGCACAGCCCATTCTCCCGGGCCGCTCTCTCCAGCCGTCGTGACGGCGCGGGCAGTTTGGACGCTGCTCGTACCTCGGGCAGGATGAACTGCTCCACTGGCTTGTACCACAGCCGGTTCACCTGCACCCCGCAGCTGGGTGGGCTGAAGCGGGCGCTGAAGAGGGCTTCCTGCAGCAGAGAACAAACACAACGCGCATCAGAAGTGCCGTGAGAGCACGGGAATCTCCATCAGCTCAGCCAGCGACGATGGGAAGAGGCTCCTGACCGTGTAAAACATAGTGATAGTTCTGATCTTACAACAGTCTCAGCCTCCACAGAATTCAGATGTTGGATTGATAATTACAGCATGGTCTGGGTGGGAAGGGACTCCACAGCCCCCCCAGTCCAACCTCCCATGGGCAGGGACACCCAAAACCAGCCCAGGCTGCAGGGAGGGGGCACCCACAGCTTCCCTGGCTCAGACCCATCTCCCAGTTTACAGCAGTTCTCTCCTCTGTTTAAACAGATCACTGCTATTAATGGCAACAGAGGATGTGACCCCTAAAACTTAACTGCTGCTGCATCACACAGGCCATCAGAGCTCTTAAATAACAACAAATGACATAAAGGTGCTGCACTGCCAGGTTCCCAATCCCCAGAAAACAATCTCCAAGCACTCCTATGATACCAATGTTTCTTCTCCACTGGAAGTAAAAAGCGAATGCAGATCAAGCTATTTGGCTCTCAACGTTTAGAATTCTGTTCAGCAAACATTAACCTGATTACAGTATCCTTATTTGCTATTATAAACCCAACTCTTTGGAAGTTCATCATAAAAGCTATAGTTCAGTCAATTTTCCATGCTTAATTTAATTATTAGCTTGAATTTATGATCTTTCTACTGTAGCGTAGCCCAAAGTCTTGAAACTGGCCTATCGAGTTCTTGGTAGAGATAAATGCAATATAAGAAATGCAACAACCATGCTCAGTGATTTTTCCAGGCCATTCTATCAAACCCATAACAGCCTGGGAGTGTGGGGAAGGATCACTGGAGTTTGAGTATTACCTGTAAATAAACAGCATTAAATAACAGTATTAAATAACAGCATTAAATAACAGCATTAAATAACAGCACTAAATAACACCAGTTTCTGGGAGTGTTAAAATGTCTTACCAGAAGATAAATCACAAGAAATCACAGCTGTCCTGCGTCTCTCTGCCCGAAGGCACCAGATGTGCCTTTCTGTAGGTGCATTTTAAATATATCCAACAGTTTATTTTTAATTTCTTAATGCCTATCGATACTTTCTAACCCCAAATGCAAGCAAGATTGTGTCTCGGATTGATCTTTCAAAAGGGCATCTAAATTAACTCCCAGCACTGTGTGAACTGCATCTTTCCCTCATCCAGGATGTGTGTGTACATACAATATGAGTTTACGATGCAGCAGAAGAAAAAGGCCATCGGTACACCTGTCATTAAGTACCTCTGTTCTAAATCACCACCAGCACAGCACCTCTTTCTGCAAGGACTCAATCTGCTGCAGTCATAGGAAAATTTTGGTTGGTTAAAATGGGCAGGTATTTGCTTAAGCTGTAGAGTTAAAAGAACACTTTGACCAATCGAGGTAATTAAAGTAGGTTGATGATTAAGTAGTTAGAATAAGTACTTAGAGGAGGTAAGTACCACGTTCAAGAGAAGAATAGATGTGATAAGAATTGAATAACAGCACACAGGATAATAGCTGTGGTCAGACAACTGTGAGAGTAGGCCACGGCTGTTCTTTTCTCTCCATGTCGAAATTATACAGGGGTAAGCTTTTGAACGAATTCGATGTCTTATATGGCATAATGGTGAGAAACCAATCAAGGTAAAGGGCCAATTAAAAGGCGGTCATTTTATGCAGGCTCGTATGATTTCGCTTTGTTCAAGATGTACAAATGGGCTGTGTGGACTTGGGAGCACAATTAGAGGAGCGATCCTCTGTGCCCCCCCAGCGCTGCAATAAAGAAGTGCCTGCTTATCTGCTGCTGCGTAGATAAGTTTCCTTGTTGTGTTTGTGACCCTGTCAACAAATTCACATAAGGAGACAAGATGCTCAGAAGACCCCGGGTGCCGCACCTCGTGCTCGGCCTGGTACAGCTTCACGGTGATGTTCCTCTGGAAGCCCAGCCCCTCGGCCTCGCCGAACACCCCCAGGCTGGTGATGACGATGGGGTAAAGCACGCGGAAGTTCACGCTGACCACTCTGTCCTCGGACAGCACCAAGGGCACGTCCTCGGGGAGGCCGAACGCCTCGATCTCCTGGTTCAGCACTGCATGAAGAAGACAAAGACAACGTGAGAAGACCTCCTCGTGGTTCCTGAACTGGAGACACGCTAAGCACGCAGACACACACAGTTAATTAGCACGGCTCTCAGGGATAATCAAGTGCTGGAGAAGGAAATGCAAGCTGCAGCAGTGAGAAACCTGGAGCGATGCAGCAACCTGCAACTGCAACTCAGTGCCTGCACATCCACAGGGAAAGGACCAGAAACAACACATCCACAGAGCCGAGACTAAAATGCCATTCGACTGCATGAGTATCTGTATATTAGCATATTAAAATAATTACTCATGTATCAAAATAGCGCACACCTCCACTTAGTTTGGCTGCCTGCTTTTTGGCACTAACGCCTCCCCGAGCCCTGAGCCCCTGAGTTTATTAGCAGTGGATGTTGCCATTCAGAGTAACACCAGCTTCATCTTACAGTGAATCACAGCTTAAGTACCAAGCGATCCTTAGTTAACTTGCAATTAAAGAGCAAAAATTAAATAGGGAAAAAAAAAAGGTGACGGGAAGAGTTTCTTAGGAATTTTTGTATGGCAGAATCTCCCTTTTCCCCCATGGTACGTTTCTTAATTGCTCCCTCTCCAGAGCGGTATCTGACAAACCCATAAATCAGCCAGAATTCACTTTGTCACCACAGACGCCCATCTGACTCTCCAAATTCTGGCGCCTCACTTCTTCCTTCACACACAACACCAGACCGGGTCATTCTGGGTCTCCCCAGCTTCATTTACGCAGGGATCGAGTGAAAACGTACGTTGTATGGGAGAGACAGGCAACATCTCTTGTCAGGACCGGCTGTGCCAGTTAAGCACCCCAAACTGCACTCAGAAAAGACGGCGACTCCTAGTTCGGATGACAGCACTTCTAGAAGTTAACGTCTTACCTGGGTTACTGATGTTCAGGAGCTTGCAGGAGTAGGGGTCTTCTCTGTCCTCCACTGGCACAGCGCAGCCACGTGCACCTATTATAAACTTCACAAGGACACTAAAATAATGTGGTTTTATTAACGCCAGCTCTCTGCCCTCCTCCCTCCACCTCCAATAAACTCACTGCATCACGACAGCCTGCCTTGCACAGGATTAAGCCTTTGAACCCCTTAAAAATCAGCAGTGAGAGGCTGTACCCAGAGCGACCACACGAACCCCACTGTAGGGGGGGGATTCAATTCCAAACCCACATCTGTGTTTCACGTAAGGATGCAGGGAGGTTGGCACCCAGGAATGGGACTGAAGACAGAAAACCACCCCAGGCAGCACTGAAGGACCCTGACGAGCTGGCTCTGTTACTTGATTCAAGATTATTCAAATATTCAGCATTCAAAAGGGAATGAAAAACACATAAGAAAGAAGGCAGACAGCAGCCAAGGAGGAGCAGGGACTCCAGGGTATCCTTTACAACGAAATGTCCCAATTTGGGGCTGTAGCAGAACAGGGGCTGCTTGGTCCAGTCCCAGTCAGGAGGCAGCAGTGGGGCCAGGGGCTGCTGTAGGGTTTTTGTGGTTCTCATCCTACCCGCGCTCAGGTGTCCTGCACTGCTGAGCATCCCAAGGTGCACACAACGCACCCAGGGCGACACAAAAAGGGGTAGGTCTGATACAGCACTAATGAACAGTGCAACGGACTGCAACAGCAGCAATGAACAGGAGATTACAGTTTATTCCTCCTAAAAAAAGAGCTACAGCCCAGAACAAGAAGCTTTCTTACACATTACTAAGCAGATAAAAATTATCAGACTACAAGATGATCACAAATAGAGCAAAAAAAGGAGGTACTTTCCCCAAAAAAGGATTAAATCAAGTCATTTAGGCACTATAGTCCCCCCCCAAATTGCAGCCCCTGGAGATTACCGTTGGCTGAGCACGGGATGCTGCCTCAAGTGCTTGAACCAAGTGTTCCTTATGACGCTGCGCAGCTCATGGTTGTGTCGAGCCGACAGCACCCCCACCACCACATCGTGGTGGCTCGGCCTCCACTGAGGAAAGAAGGCCAGAGGACCTGGGGAAACAAACGTTAATCACAGGCACGTGTTACATTAAAACGCATCTCGGGAGCGACAGCACCGGGAACCTGAAAACACCAGAACCCAGCAGCAGAACCGCTCAGCCTCGGGGAAGTATTTGACCTTCTGAAGCTGAACACGCGCTGCCTTCGCACTCCGGCTTCATCCACAGTCGGGTGCCACTGCCAGTACCTGTGAGCCATCGTTCAGATGTGCTTTTTTAACTTAGAGATCATGATTACTTGACTTCAAGCAGGATGATGACCAGCTCAGAGACCCGAGCAGCTCTGGCTTTGAGGCCGCAAGCAGCCAGGGCAGCAGCTGAAGCGAATTTGCGTGGTTGAATTCACACAGAATCACAGAACGTCAGGGATTGGAAGGGACCTCCAAAGCTCATCCAGTCCAATCCCCTGCCGGAGCAGGAACACCCAGATGAGGTTACACAGGAAGGCGTCCAGGCGGGTTTGGAATGTCTGCAGAGAAGGAGACTCCACAACCTCTCTGGGCAGCCTGGGCCAGGGCTCTGTCACCCTCACTGAGAAGAAGTTTCTTCTCCAATTTCAGTGGAACCTCCTGTGTTCCAGTTTGTGTCCGTTCCCCCTTGTCCTATCATTGTTTGTCACCGAGAAGAGCCTGGCTCCATCCTCGTGACACTCACCCTTGAAATATTGATAACCATGAATGAGGTCTCCCCTCAGTCTCCTCTTCTGCAAACTAAAGAGCCCCAGCTCCCTCAGCCGCTCCTCAGAAGGGAGATGCTCCACTCCCTCCATCATCTTTGTAGCCCTACGCTGGACTCTCTCCAGCAGTTCCTGTCCTTCTTGAACTGAGGGACCCTCATCAGAGATTCTGGAGCTAAGAGAGATTTGGCTTTAGCTTTAGCAGAGGATTGCTCTCCTCTCCTCTCATCTTTTTTTTTTTTTACATTAGGCTTCAGATAAATGAAAGAAAATGTAAATGTGAGGGCCCTCTAAACTGCTGCATACAACACACAAGATACTTTAAAAATCTATCTGTAAAGTGACCAAAAATACCAAGTCTGCACTGTGTGCTCCCACTGGAAAGAGCTGGGTTATGATCCAGATTGTGCTTCCTGTACCCGAGATTTCGGGATTATATTTTGGGTTTTTGGTTTAGGGGCTATTGACAACGGACAGCGCCCGACTCCCGGTCCCAAAGCTGAATAAACCAGTGCTCTGCAGCTGATTCTCAGAGCAGCACAGAAATACAGTGATATTTCCTGGGCATATTTCCTTTCCCAGTCTGTTTCCCACTAAATATTTGAGTTCTGAGCCAATTCTCTATGGGGCCCCTCAGTTCAAGAAGGACAGGAACTGCTGGAGAGAGTCCAGCGTAGGGCTACAAAGATGATCAAGGGAGTGGAGCATCTCCCTTCTGAGGAGCGGCTGAGGGAGCTGGGGCTCTTTAGTTTGCAGAAGAGGAGACTGAGGGGAGACCTCATTCATGGTTATCAATATTTAAAGGGTGAGTGTCACGAGGATGGAGCCAGGCTCTTCTCGGTGACAAACAATGATAGGACAAGGGGGAACGGACACAAACTGGAACACAGGAGGTTCCACTGAAATTGGAGAAGAAACTTCTTCTCAGTGAGGGTGACAGAGCCCTGGCCCAGGCTGCCCAGAGAGGTTGTGGAGTCTCCTTCTCTGCAGACATTCCAAACCCGCCTGGACGCCTTCCTGTGTAACCTCATCTGGGTGTTCCTGCTCCGGCAGGGGATTGGACTGGATGAGCTTTGGAGGTCCCTTCCAATCCCTGACGGTCTGGGATTCTGTGATTCTATAAAAAGTTTAAGTTATTTAAATACAATCTGTACTGACAGCAGCTACAAGCTTGTCAATACCTGAAGCTGAACATGAAATCCACAGCGCTGGCGCTCAGACCAACCCAAAAACCCGGCAGGAGGCCCCTGCACCCAGCCCTGGTGTTTGACTGCAGCAGCGCTGACAGCTCTCACTGCAAACACAGGTCCAGCAGCACCAAAGATCCGTCTTTATGTAGTTATAAACCATCACGACCTGTACATCAGACACACCGCATAGTCCGAATGCGGGCTTAGTTTTCCCTTATGCTGGTAAACACCAATAAAGACTAAAGTGTTTGTACACCAAGCATCAGATTGGGTCGGAGACATCACTTCTGATTAGAACCGTGTCTTTAAATCCAAATTAAAGAACATTAGCACTAAGAGAAGAAGTCTATGGGGTGACGCGACTCAGAACAGCTTAAGCTGGCACTTCTGGAGCGTGTTCAGAGCAGAGCCACAAGGATGGGGAGGGCTCTGGAGAACAAGCCTGATGAGGAGCGGCTGAGGGAACTGGGCTTGTTTAGCCTGGAGAAGAGAAGGCTGAGGGGAGACCTCATCACCACCTACAACTGCCTCAAGGGAGCTTGTAGAGAGGTGGGTGCTGGTCTCTTCTCCCAGGTGATGGGGGATAGAACAAGGGGAAACGGCACCAAGCTGTGCCAAGGGAGGTTCAGGTCAGAGCTAAGGAGGAAGTTCTTTCCTGAGAGGGTCGTCAGAAGCTGGCACAGGCTGCCCAGGGAGGTGGTGGAGTCCCCATCCCTGGATGTGTTTAAAGAGCGGGTAGACGAGGTACTTGGGGATATGGTTTAGGGGGTAGACAGGAGCGGTTGGACGTGATGATCTCAGAGGGCTTTTCCAACCGAGCCATTCTGTGATTCTGTGAAGTGAGTTTTTTAAAAAAGCCCACCTAAAAATAAGCTACTCGGATCAAACACACGTACTTTCAATTAGCTCCCATTTTTAAATGAGCGCTGTTTTTCACAACGTTAACGCAGCAGATGCTTCAGAGTTCACATCCCACTGCTTTCAGAAGAGACGGCTCCTGTTTCAGGCCATCCTCAGGCTCAGTGAGGCAGCACTACAGCGGTCTGAATTCGGAGGACTGTGTCTCCCAGGAGTAATGACATTTTACTTCTACATCACTGGAAATTGAAGGAAAAGCAGCTTACTTTCACAAAAAAAAACACCTAACGAATAAGCTCTGTGCTTGTTAGCAAAGGTTTCTGCTTCCTATGGAAAAGCAGCAACAACACTGGCTGAACTGTGAGGAAAAGAGATCCACGTGTTTCTGAACTTGCACTTTGAAAAATGGGAGGTAAAATGAGAGGCACAGGGAAAAACAAAGGCTAAGGGCTACTCTTCTATAAGGATAACTCAGACTCTTGCATATATATGCTTTGATGCAGCATAATTTAACAGAAAACACTGCTGACCTCCAAGCCAACAACAACAATTTACAAAAGCAAGCAGTACTTGCCCCCGGGAACCAAACTTACTCATCTTGTGTTCCATTTCTGTGCATTCTTAAGCCAAGGTTTTAATTGTTGGCAATAGGCTTATGAAATACCTGCTACACTGCTCTTGCTTTGAGCTGGCTACGGCATCTGTGTGGACAGGCTGCCATGCAATGCTCGATGTCTGACCACACATCTATTTCTACCCGTGCAGTTCTGCACCTCGGTATGAGCAAATCCCAAAGGACAAAGACCAACGTGGTCTGCAGGTCCCAGTCACATTTGAACCCCCTCAGCAGCTCCCAAAGGTCTCCAAAATCCCACAGGACAGAGATCAACGTGGTCTGCAGGTCCCAGTCACATTTAACCCCCTCAGCAGCTCCCAAAGGTCTCCAAAATCCCACAGGACAGAGATCAACGTGGTCTGCAGGTCCCAGTCACATTTAACCCCCTCAGCAGCTCCCAAAGGTCTCCAAAATCCCACAGGACAGAGATCAACGTGGTCTGCAGGTCCCAGTCACATTTAACCCCCTCAGCAGCTCCCAAAGGTCTCCAAAATCCCACAGGACAGAGATCAATGTGGTCTGCAGGTCCCAGTCACATTTAACCCCCTCAGCAGCTCCCAAAGGTCTCCAAAATCCCACAGGACAGAGATCAATGTGGTCTGCAGGTCCCAGTCACATTTAACCCCCTCAGCAGCTCCCAAAGGTCCCCAAAATCCCACAGGACAGAGATGAACACGCACCTCTTCTTCCTGCCTGATTCTCCAGCAAAATGTCAGGTTAGGCTGCTAATTGTGTTGACTGTCATTATAAGGAGATGAAGAGACTGAGAGACCACGCAGCCCGACTGTCAACAAACACGGTAAGTATCGCCTTGCTGCACTCACACCGGTAAACCCCCACCAACCACTACGTCTGCCCGTTGTTTTCAGTCAAATTTGACGTCGAGTGCAGCGCCCAAAGTGGTTGAGTTCCCGCACCAGTGGAGCTGTCCCTGCGCTATGGGGCACCAGAAATCCTCACCGCACACACACAACACGTGGGCTCCACAGAGGGATGAGCTTTGTACCTGCAGCCACCTTTTCTTCCTTTTAAAAAACAGAAGTCATTTGGAATATTCTCAAGTAACCCACTTCATAAGAGAAGCCTAAAAAGGAACAACATCCCTACAGCCCCTCCCTCATTCCAGGCTGTTATCTCTGCCTGTTCTTGCGGCTTTGCTGGTTTTTAATGCCTTTTTTCTTCAGTGCAGCATTGTGCGAGACCTGAACAAACGCGCAGGGAGGAATTAACTGAATATAAAGGAGGTTTGTATTCGCAGAACGCTGACACACGCAAAGAACAAACCAAGGAGCAGAAGCAGCTCCTTCCCCCTCCCCAATCTTCGCTCCCTCTGCTCCAGCTCAGCTGGACCCCCCCTGCAGCCCCTGCTCGGTGCCACAGCCAAGAATCACCACGACCTGCACACTACTTGACACACGGGCTTGGCAGAGTTCAGACGACAGCTTTTCTTAAGGAAGCACCACATTTTGGCAGAGTTTATCCTCACAGAGTACAGCACCACTCGTAACTCTGAGGCTGTTGGTACTATTTGTTATTTGAGCACTGAAAAGGACAAAGCAGGCTGAGCCCTCCCCTCCTCCCCTCTCACCTGTGGTGCTCACAGGCCAGCCCATGGGAAACAGCCCTAATCCCACCCCGAAACACGGCCTAAC